GGGGAAAGGGGGGGAGCCCTTGTGAGGTATAGCTTCGGAGCAGCCCCCGCCGCCGCCACAGCCGACGCCTCCTCCTTTCCGATTCACTCAAACAAACAAGATGGCTGCCGTTACGGCGCAGCTCTTCCTGCCGCCCAAATTCTCGGTTCAAATCGGCAGGATGTTTACGGTCAAAATGGTACCTGTGCGCCTGCGCGGCTCGCGCGAGCCCCCAGCGGCAGCGACGCAGGCGCAATGACCACTTCCTTTTCTTTGGCACCCGCGTCCGGGTCGGACGGCCCGAACTGAGCAGGCGCGGAGGTGATTCTCCAGGCGGAGGGTCTGCGAGGTTTGCGAAACTGGAGCGCAGTGCCGGCCGTCGGAGCGGTTTAGCTCTATTCCTGGGGTGGTTTTTAAAGGGAAGAGCTGTCGTCGTGCAGTTTTGTGTAGCCCTAACCCAAAAGTTCACTTTAATGGTTCCGTAACGACATAGGCCCCTTAAACAGACCCCGTCAAAGGTGGGGGTCCGTTCATTCAGTCGGCCTGTGTTTGCACACGGTCCCCTCTGAACGGCCTTAGGTGATGTCTAGGGCCTGGGATGCAGTTATGGAAACAGCAGAGAGGGTGCGTGCCTTCGCGAAGCTTGCAGTATACCTGGGGAGGAAGCTTAAGTTTTCTACAAGTACTTAGCTGTGTCAGGAATAAGAAACCGGGTATGGAGGGAGACCTGATGGGGGGGAAGTGGGAGAGGTCTTTCCAGAGTCACTATAGGGGAGCCCGGATGTGAAGGCTGAGCTCCAGGAAGCGGGAGCAGCACGTGCAAAGGTCCTGTGGCAGCCGAGAGGAAGGCGGGGCTAGAGGAACAGAAAGCAAGCCCATTGGAGGCTTTTGCATTTTAAAAGGACCATCCAGGCGTATTGAGGATTAGAGCAAATGTCCAGATGTAATTTGTGTTCATTTGAGGAATTGTTTTCTAGGAAACAAAACCATATGGGGTTGTGGTAGAGGAAACTGCAGAGTTGATTCCTCTGGTTTGGGGCTTGCAGGGTTAGGTGGACTGGACTGGGAAGCCATACGCTAAGGGCAGATGGAGGAATGTTATATGAGGTTTTGCTTATTTTTGTTTTGTGATCCATCTCAGTGTCAAGCTTCTGTTGTCTCGTTGGCCATCTTAACTGGTCTCTCCGCTTCCACCCTGGTCCTCCTTCAATTAATCAATGATCTGCAAGGGAGCCAAAAGTATCTTTGCAAAACATATCTAATCACTCCCCTCCCCTTCTATAAACTCTTGCATAGCTTTCAGGCTATTACCCAAAATGCTTAAGATGACACGGTGAGCTAGCCCCTGCCTCCTGCTCCAGCTTCCTCTCTTACCCCTCCCTTCCTAACTGTGCTTCAGTGTCACTGCCTTTTAAATTGACAAATGTACCGCGATCACTTGCTGTTCCCTGTGCTTACAATAGTCAGGCATTTCCATCCCCTCTCCTGTTGTCTAATTCTTAATCTTCTACATCTTAGTTCAAAAGTCACTTCAAGAAACTCTTCCCTGATCCTCTGTATTACTTAGGATAACACTATTACTGTAAAAAATGGTCCCCTCCCTGCCCCAAATTTCAGGGCTTTACAAAATGGCCCCATCAATTACTGCCTGTCTGACAATGTGTAAGTAAATGAGCTTCACGTTTCTCACCTGAGTATTGTGAAGATTCGTGAATTAATACATGTAGAAGCATTTGAAAAAGTGCATGGCAATAATCATATTTGAGTTATTTTTATTATTACTTTCATTGTCATTGTCACCATTATCCTCTATAAATTTCTGCTCTTAGAGAATGGCACCCAGAACTGTACAAAATGCTCCTAGCCACAGTAGAAGATAGTGAGAGTGCCATCTTTTGAAGTGGACGCCTATATTTTTAATCCAGCCCAATCGTGTGTTAGTTTTTATCTGCCTATTTTGTAATTTATTAAAAAATGGAGGGATAGTTGACTTCTCTGTCATAGTTTCTGAGTATAGATACATTTTAAAGTTAAGAAATATGCAGGGAAACAGACATTTAAGCACGTGCATTCCTCAATGTCAGCAACAATTACCCTTAAGTCCTGCACTGTAGTTTAACAATACACAACACAACTCACTTTTACCCTTCTTATGTTGCTGCAACAGGTGGACAAGAAAGTGGGCAGTCGTGTGTTCCGCTTGCTCTGGGTCACTGTTTTTGGCCTAGGGTAGGGTTCATCTCACTGGCTGGAGTCCTTTAGCCAAATGGCTATGGCAGCCAGGACTCAAAGCTTCATCAAGTGAATGTCCTATTTTAGTTAAGCAATATTTTTTTTCTTTTTTTTCTTTTCTTTTTTTTAAATGGGAATTTAAGAAACTGGCATTAAGGATAGTTGTTGAAATCCCAAGCTGAGTAGCAAAATGATACAAGTACTTTTACTATTTTCTGTGTGATTTTCCTCAACCAATACAGAATAAATGCCCAAAGCATTTAAATCCTTTCTGCTGGTATGAATTTAAACAAACTCAACCCTGGCATTTGTTGCATCATCTCAAAAAAACAAAAACAACCCCCCCCCCAACAAAAACCCCACTCATTAACAAACTCTTTACAACAGAAAAATTTAATTTCTGCCAGTGAATAATTCATCAAGTGTATCAGCTGCTAAGTGACCTAACACTAATCATCTGGGAAAAGTCTCCAGTCGGGCACCCTGGCCGGGTGGCTCAGTTGGTTGGAGAGTCATCCCGAATGCCAGAAGACTGTGGGTTCGATTCCCAGTCAGGGCACATACTGGGGTTGCGGGTTCCATCTTGGGTTGGGGTGCGCATGGGAGGCAACCGATCAATGTTTCCCTCTCACATCGATGTTTCTCTCTAAAAGTCAATAAAACAAGGTCTCCAGTCTGGTTAAGGTTCACATGGATAAGACCACATTGCTTGGTGAATCCTGCTTTGTTGTTAACATTAAATTACAGTTTAAATCTCTCTGTTTCAAACTATGGCCAGATGAATATGCATTGCCAATTCCTACCTCTCTCATATTACATTAGCTTTTAGAATTTTTGTCAGTGGAATCACATATATTTCCTTTGAATTTGAATAAAAACAATTTTGTTTTCCTAATTTCATGTGACAAGTCTGATTCTAACATTTAAATAAACAGGTTTACTTTTTCTTTATGACTTTTTCTCTAGTTTTGAAGGATGGTTATGAATATGGGCTCTGGGTTCAAATTCATCTCTTCTTCCTCCCAGCTGTTTTGCCCTATGTAATTTACTTAACATCTCTGGGCTTTGATTTATTTATCTATAAAAATGGGTAATACTTTTTATGATTGTTGAAAGAATTAAATGAGATCATATATACAAAGTATTTAGCATAGTGCTTGGAACTGAGTAATTAATTACTCAATAAATGGTGGCTATTATTCTTGTTCCTTCCACCTTCTGGTAATGAAAGAGCCAACAAGGTATGGCAAATATTTATCAGATATTCAACTTTTAAGGACATCAGCAAATACCTGGATACTCCAAATGCTCCTCTTAACTATACTTTGCTTTATGCCCATTTCCAATCCTTATTTGAAAAAGTTATTCTGTCTATCTCCATCTCTCTTTCTCCAGCACTGAACCGTCATTTATTCTTACCCAACAGCTCTCCACCTGAGCCCACCTTCCCTTTCATGCATTTTTATATAATTTTTTCACATGCAGTCCCCGCAATCTGCATGATTTGGTTCTTTGGAACAAGGTGTATATTCTGCTCTGGCTTGAAGTCCCATCCAGTCAACATG